CCCCCCAAAGCCCCAGTAGATAGTTGTATGTCACAGCTGCACATCCTTCTAGTTGCTGTATGTGGGACGTGGCCTCAGCATGGCCGGAGAAGCGGTGCGCGCCGGGGATCTGAACCCGGGCCGCCAGCAGCGGAGCGCGCGCACTTAACCGCTAAGCCACAGGGCCGGCCCTATTTGTTTGTTTATTATTATTTATTTTTTTTGGTGAGGGAGATTGGCCATGAGCTAACATCCATTGCCAATCTTCCTCTTTTTGCTGAGGAAGATTGTCCCTGAGCTAACATCTGTGCCCATCTTCTTCTATTTTGTATGTGGGACACCACCACAGCATGGCTTGATGAGTAGTGTGTAGGTCCTTGCCCGGGATCCATACTCATGATCTGGGATTCTTTTTAGATACAAACTCCCATACCTGTTCTAAAACTACTGAATCAGAATCTCTGGGGATGAGATTTAGGGCATCCCATTACCAGAGGCATCTAGAGAAGTCTGATGTGCATTCAGGTTTGAGAGCCTCTAAAAATAATTATTCTGCTTTCAAACAACAAATATCGTAAAGTATACTTACCAAAATGAAGTATATCTAGATTGAGTTTTTTTTTTTTTTTTCATTTTTGTGAGCGGCCTACCATTCATATTAATATCGCCAAATTTTAGATTGTATGCCCCTTTTTTATATATACTTTCTTTTTAAATTTAAGTAGAATAGCTTTGGAAAGGTATACAATCAGGAAATTAAATAAAAGACATTGGCCAATAAAATAACAAATGGGATAGGAAAGAAAATATGTCAAAGAGGAGAATCTAGGATAATTTTTACGTGTCTTTCAAGTCTATTGTTCTAATCTTTCTTGTTTTCACAGGGATTATAAGAGTAGGTCTGTTTATTTTAGAAGAATTTTTGGTTTACTTGTCAATGTAAATAATCCATAATCAATCTATAAATCAGAACTGGGGTGAGTTTATTATGAACCAGGTCTGAGATTATAGCCCTGGGGGCTTCCTTCCCCAAGGAAGGAAGCACTCCAAAAAAGTAGGGTGTACAGAGTGGTTATAAACTATCTTCGAACAAAAAGCATACGTTACATGTGATAGGAATGGCCCTTTTACGACAGTCATGGGATTGCTTTGCTGGTACAGCAGGTCATCGGTCACAAAGTGAACACAGCAGGTGGGTAATTAATTCTTAGTTTCCAGGAAGAAATGGTTATCCTTAATGAAATGCTGATATGGGGGGGAAGCCACATCCCTGTCTTTACAAGCATCATTCTTGTCTTTGAGACATTGTAAATGTTTAAAGCAGATGTACAATGCGTGCTCAACAGGCCATGTCAGGCCTCTTTGGAAAAACAAGATCAGACTGAATTAGTTTTAAACCAAATGGCTTCCTCATGTACTCCAATATATCCTATTGCTTGTCATTTATTCATCATTGTGCAAGTTTGGTGGTCCAAGGCCAAATGTCTACCACTACGAATTGTATTAATTTTTCCACTAGTGTAGTAAGAAACGTATGAGGCTGGTAAAGCAAGTAAATATTCATGATATTTATTGGTATGCCCTTAGATCCCCAAATTATTTTTACATAAAACTAACTTTTATCCCAGGTATGTCCACAGTTCTTTGAACTTCCCCCTATAGATTAAGGTAGTAATAATTATATGAATAACTATTCATTGGAAAAATTAACAGACATAATCAGCTAATGAGACTAGTAGCATGATGCCCTTTGTGCTTTATAATGTAGAGTAAAAATGCAATTAATTTAGACCAACTTGGATGGACTTAATCTTGTTTATAGTAATTTTTGCATGGTCAGTATTATTCAAAGGATGTGTAGAATTTAAATGTGAGCATAATTGCTGAAAAATTTTGTTGTGGATTCTGAATTAGTCAAATTAATAGCTTATTTCATTATAAAATTCTTTTTAATAATGTCTATTATGCTTTTTCTGTTGTTCAAGAACAATTTCTGTGAAAAAAGTGTCTTGGCGTCTCCCTTGAATTCCAGAAAATCTGATCCAGTCACAATCAAGTCACAAAAGAAAAGTAAGAACAAACAGACAAACAATGGAGATATTCAGAAGTAAGTGAATATGACTATTTATCAATTATATATTGACCATCTACTGTAAGCCAGTGTTTTTTTTTTTGCATATAGTCCACTGATTGTCAAAATTTGGTCCATGAACTCTGCCTGAAAATCCTCCAGTTGGTCTGAGATTGATATAAAGTGAAAATAAGAAAGCTACTCACATAGCATAGATTCCTGGCTAGCACGAAGTGAGATGGGAAGCCTGTTTTTATCCTGATTCCACAGGATTTCCATGTTGTTCCCATTTTCTCAAAATTAACCAGTTGGATTTCTTTTTCTCTTGGTTTAGATTCAGGTGAGAAAAGCTGGTCCTGTATAAGGTCATTCTCGTTGAAGGAGTTTACAATTTGGCATTTAGCTCATTCCCCCACCCTCTTTCCCAGTTTATGCTTTACATTTCTTTTCTGCTGTGCAAACAGCATGAGTCAGGTAGTCAACAGTGCAGTGGTAGAGTCATAAAGATGACTTTATGAGGATATAGGCTTTCCCATAGTAATTAACAGATGGAAAAGTTTAAGAACCACAATCCAGACTTCAAAAACATGTAAGGGCTTTTGGTTCAACTGAGTAAATATGTACAGGTAATTTGCCTCCTTGCAAAATTCATAGAAGTTTTGGGTTTGGGCTGGTGGGGATTTGGGGCATGGAGACGGACATTTGAGAGGGAAGACAGTTAAATGAGGTGGCTGCTATTAAAAGAAAAAAACGGGCCAGCCCGGTAGTGCAGCAGTTAAGTGTGTGCACTCCACTTCAGCGGCCCGGTGTTCACAGGTTCAGATCCTGGGTGCGCGCCGATGCCCTGTTTGTTAAGCCATGCTGTGGCGGCGTCCCATATATAGTAGAGGAAGATGGGCACGGATGTTAGCCCAGGGCCAATCTTCCTCAAGAAAAAAAGGGGAGGATTGTCATCGGATGTTAGCTCAGGGCTAGTCCTCCTCACACACAAAAAAAGAAAAAAACAGATGTGTCAATATCAATATTGTTAATGCTGATATTATACAAAGCAGAAATCGAGAAAAATCATTAAAAGGAGAAAAACAGATATTTCATATCGATATAATATTCTGCTTAAAGGATATATCTGTCATGAGTCTTCATGTATCTAAATACACTTTGAAATATATAAAGATAAAAATTACTAGAAATACAAGAATAAACTGATGAACTTAAAAGTAGGAATTGAGAAACTAGTGGATTAAAGTTAAAGCAAAGTTAAAAACAGATGAAGTCTAGTCTCTAGAATAAAGAATTCTTATATAACTTAACAACAAAAGATAACCCAATTTAAAAATGGGCAAAGGACTTGAATAGACATTTCTCCAAAGATGTAAAAATGGCCAGTAAGTACATGAAAAGATGCTCAACATCATTAGTCATTAGGGAAATGCCAATCAAAACCACAATGAGATACCATTCATACCCACTAGGATATTGTTATATTGTTATTTTCCTAAAAAAAGGAAAATAACAAGTGTTGGCAAGGATGTGGAGAAATTGAAATCTTCTACATTGCTGGTGGGAATGTAAAATGCTGCAGCCTCAATGGAAAACAGTTTGGCAGTTCCTCAGAAAGTTAAACAGAATTACCATATGACCCAGCACTTCCACTCCTAGGTACCCAAAAGAATTGAAAAACAGGTATTCAAACAAATACTTGTACACAAATGTTTGTGTCAGCGCTTCAAATAGCCAAAAGGTGGAAACAACCTGAATGTCCATTGAGGGATGAGTGGATAAACAAAATGTGGTATATCCATATAATGAAATATTCATCAGCCCTAAAGGGTGACAAACTGATACGTGCTGTAATGTGGATGAACCTCAGAAACACGCTAAATGAAAGAAGCCAGACACAAAGGGTTACATAGTATATGATTTCATTTACGTGAAATAGCTAGAATAGGTAAATCTGTAGTGACAGAAAGCCGATTAGTAGTTGCCAGTGGCTGGGGAAAGGTGGGAATAGAGAGTAACTGCTTAATATATACAGGGTCTCCTTTGGGAATGATGAAAATGTTTTGGAACTAAATAGAGGTGATGGTTGCACAACTTTGTGAATGTACTAAATGTCACTGAATTGTACACTTTAAAGTGATTCATTTTATGTTATATGAATTTCACCTCAAATTAAAAATGATTAACAAAAAGATTACTAAAGTGTTTGAAAATCAAGAAAAACTACTAAGTAACTCATTAGTTAAAGAATAAATCTTGATAGAAATATAAAACTGAAAATATTACACATCAGGATTTCTGAGATATGGCTGAAGTGATATTTAGAAGGCTTTAAATGCCATATCAGAAAAGGAGGAAAGGCTGAAAATATATCTAAAATGACAATTCCTGAAATATATTGCTGGCTTAGAAAATGAATCCATGCAAGTTAACGTATTAACTGTTTAAATATGAGAAGCATGGGAATGATAATTCTTAATAAAGTAGGAATAGAAAGAAACTTAACCTGTTAAAGGATATCTACTAAAAAATTTATATCAGATATCATACTTTATGGTAGAAAATTGGAATCATTCCCCTTTGGGTGGCCTACTAATTACCACTTCTATTCAGTGTTATACTGGAGATTTCAGTCTGCAAGGTAAGACAATAAAAGGAAATAAAAGATATGACCTTGGAAAGGAAGGAAAAAGAAGCTATTGTTATTAGAAGTGGAATAATTATATAGAAAATCCAAGAGTTCAGAGATACATTTTTAGAATTAATAAGAGTTTAACAAGTTTGGTAGATATAAAGTCTGTACAAAAAGTCCATTGCAAATGTGACTTTAGTAAAGATTCTGCTTATAATAGCATCAGAAAATAAAAAGTACTTAGAAATAAATTTATTAAAAAGTCTATAAGATCTTATGGAGAACATTATAAAATTTTACTGTTGTGTTATATTTACTATTAAGAAATCTGCAAGTATACATGGATTGAAAGATGTCTAATATGATAATATTGCTAAATATCAGATCCCCCAAACTGATCTATAGATTCAATGCAATTGAAATAAAAACCCCAACCTTTTTTTTAACTTGACATACTGATTTTAAATTTTAAATGGAAGAGAAAGGGCCTTCAGATACTCCTGAAAAAAAATAAAAGTTGTGGTGGAGGGATGGATGCTTCAAATTTATAGTAAGTAAACACATGTGATAATTGCACAGAGATGGGTAGGCAAAATGATTGAGGCAACATAATAGGTAGTTTAGAAACACAACACAGTGTATGGAACCTTTACGAGAGCTTTTGTGTTTTTGAAATATGTCCACAAGTTCTTTGATATTTCTCCTTTAAAAAGAGGAAGCCCAATTCCCGTCCTTTGAATGTGGGCTGGACTTAAGTATACAAATAGAATTACCAGAAGGGACATTGTACACTTCACGGACTATGTCCTAAAAGGCACTGTGACTTTTCTCTTTTGGATTACTTGCTCTGGGCGAGTTAGCTGCCATGTTGTGAGCAGCCCCATGAAGAGGCCCACATGGTAAGGAACTGAGGCCTTCTGCCAACAGCCAGTAAGAACTGAGACCTCCAGAATAGCTTGTGTGAGTGAGCCTTCTTAGAAGGTGATCCTCTAGCCCCAGTCAAGCCTTAAGATGACTGACCAACATTTTAACTGACTCTCATGAGAGATCCTGAGCCAGAATCATCCAGCTAAGCTGCCCTTGGATTCCTGACCCTGAGAAACCGTGTGAGATACTGTTCGTTGTTTTAAGCCACTAAGTTTTGGGGTACTTTGGGTAACTAGTACAGTAGTTGTCACTGTTGATCAGTGAGAAAAGGATGAACTTGTCAATAAATGCTGCTGGGACAATTGATTATATGGGGAAAAAATGAGCTTGGACCTCTACTCATACTATATATATATACTAAGGTGAATTAAGACCTGTATGAAAAAGGCAAAACCATAAAACTTTAAGAAGACAATGAAAGGGATATCTTTAGGGAGGGAAGTTTTTTTTTTTTTTTTTTGTGAGGAGATCAGCCCTGTGCTAACATCTGCCAATCCTCCTCTTTTTTGCTGAGGAAGACTGGCCCTGGGCTAACATCTGTGCCCATCTTCCTCTACTTTATATGGGATGCCGCCACAGCATGGCTTTACAAGTGGTGCGTCGTTGCACACCCGGGATCTGAACCGGCGAACTCCGGGCTGCCGCAGTGGAGCGCCTGCACTTAACCACTTGCGCCACTGGGCCGGCCCCCTAGGGAGGGAAGTGTTAATGAGCAAAACATAATTAAACTATAATAAAATTAAGGATGTCTCTGTCAAAACACCTTTAGAGAATAAAAAGATAAGCTGCTATCTTCAAGAAATTTTAACTTATTTACCCGAAAAAAGATTACTATTAAAGAATACCCACCTATGAGTGAGGGGAAGGTTAGTAGAAAAATAGGCAGAAAACTTTGACTTCATAGAAATTAAAACCTGAAAGCTAATACATATGAAAAGATATTGAACCTTATTAGTAATCAGGGAAATGCAAATTAAAATTACAGTGAGGTAATATTTCATACTCCCCCTATTGGAAAAATTAAACTCTGTGGAATATTAAGTGTCATAGAGGATAAGAAGCACTTAACACACTTCGGAGGAGTGTAAAAGGTTGATGCTCTATATGACTCTGGAGTATAGACATTAAAAAAACCCTAGAAGACATGTACAGGAATGTTCCTAGCAGTACTATTCATAACAGCAAAGAGCCAGAAGCACCCACATGGCTAACAGTAGAATGGAGTACCATCCAGCAGTGAAAATGAATTCTAACTAAGAAAAACATGCATGATTCAGGAGAATGTTGGGTGGAGAAAACAAGTTGTGGAAGAATACATGTGATGTGATTCCATATACATCAAGTTTAGAATCATCCAGCACTAAGCAATACAGTGTTTAGGAATACAAATGTGTTGTAAAACTTGTTAAAAACAAGAAATAAGAAACTAAGGATACTGTTTGTCTCTGAGGTGGGGGACAAAGAAGGGGCCTCATAAGGGATTTTAAAATCAATGATTTTTTTCCCCCTTTAAATCAGGTGATAAGTGTAAGGGTTTTCATGATAATGTAAATTTTTAAAACTTTTTTTTTAAGTATAACATACATACATTAAAGTGCAGTAATCTTAAGTGTATTTTTTGGTGAATTTTTACATATGTATAAACCACGCTCCAGATTAAGATAACAGAATATTTCCAAAAGGTTCACTCGTGCCCTTTCCCAGTCAGTATCCCCTGCCCTGTAACCATTATGTATTGTGATTCTTACAAGTATTTTATAACTATTTCTCTTGTAAACTGTTTTCACGGGGTAGACCTACATATACTCTCTTAGAGAGATCTTTAAGACATAAGTGAAAAAAGGAAATCACAGAAGAATACGATTGCTTTAAGAGATAGTGTGTGTACTATATAAAAATCATATTTTTAAAAAGAAATTGGTGGGCCGGCCCCGTGGCTTAGCAGTTAAGTGCGCGCGCTCCGCTACTGGTGGCCCGGGTTCGGATCCCGGCTGCGCACAGATGCCCTGCTTCTCCGGCCATGCTGAGGCCTCGTCCCACATACAGGAACTAGAAGGATGTGCAGCTATGACATACAACTATCTACTGGGGCTTTGGGGAAAAAACAAAAAACAAAAAAAAAGGAGCAGGATTGGCAATGGATGTTAGCTCAGAGCCGGTCTTCCTCAGCAAAAAGAGGAGGATTAGCACGGATGTTAGCTCAGGGCTGATCTTCCTCACGAAAAAAAAAAAAGGAAGAAAGAAATTGGTTACATATGAGGAAGCAAATAGGAATGGAAAGGGATGATGACATATATTTCATACATTTCTGTTAATATTTTTAGAATGAGCATGTGTTCATACATTACTTCGTTATTATAAATAAAGAATATCCAGGAGAGTTCATGAATCTTCACTGATTATGTTGATAGGTATCTGATCACATTTTGTTTTGTTCTCTGCTTATGGATTTTAAAACAACTATTATGCTGTAATAATTCTATCTTGTTAATAATATACTTGGTAACTAAGATCCAACATTGTCAGAAGGGATTCTTCAGCTCTGGAAAACAAAGTTAAAATGAGACTAAACCTGGAATCTTGTTTTCTCTTATCAACTGAAAAGGTGGTTCTTGTTCTTAGAAGTTTGCAGAGTAAGTATTTAGGTTGATGCAACTAAATATGCGGTTTAGATACTCTAGTTTATCTATAAGCGATATTCATTTGTTCTTTTTTTTTTTTATTATTGTGGTAACATTGGTTTATCACATTGTATAAATTTCAGGTGTACATCATTATACTTCTGTTTCTGCATAGATTACATCATGTTCACCACCCAAATACTAATTACAGTCCATCACCACACACATGTACCTAACCATCGTTTTCGCCTTCCTCCCTCATTTGTTCTTTATATGAGATCTTCGTCTAGATTTTATTTTATCGTTCTATGTGCTATTCATTGGCGCTTTGGACACAATGGAACTTATGGTTTTTCATATTATTTGCAATCAGAGATTTTTTCCTTCAATTTTAAAAATAAAAGCAAAGTGCTCTTTGAAAATCACCTAGTTACCACCATTTGAAGACAGCCAACATTTTGGGAGATTTCTGCCATTTTTAAGCATAGGTGTGTGTATATTTCGATTTTTTACAATTTTTAAAATATTCCTACCATCTTGTAACCTGTCCTTTTATTCTCATTTCTTTTACAGCATTTTCCATTATATTACAAACTTCATATTTTCAGCGGCAAACAGCCTTTTAAAGGTGCTTAGAAATTTAAGGATATGCTCTTATGCTGATATATTGATATATCTGTTTGTCGCTAAGCAGACAGTTGATATAAAATGTGTATATGATAAAATCTCTTTTCCCAAATGGTAAAGAATCTAATCATGGACCCTTTCCCAATAGTAGAGATAAAAATGTAGAATTTCTGTCATTAAAAAGAAACTAACATATCCTTTCTCCTGGTTTAAGGAGAAACCATTTCCATTACTTTTGGGAAGACGATACAGTCTTCCATTGTTTTGATGCTATCTTTTAGATTTTTTTTGAGAATTAAGAAATGTTTAGATTTGACTTGTACTTCCTTTTCTGCTATTTTCACTACAATATCAATACTCAGCCTTTTAAGTTTTGGTTTGGTATTAGACCAAAATACCTGAGACAAGGAGATGGAATACACTCTTTTTGATAAATCAGCCGAGCAGCAAACCAGACAACCTTTGGCATAAATAGCTAATCTGGCTTTATTATATTGAGTACATACCACTTGTCTTTCAAAGCATTGAAACTTTGGTAAACTATTTCTTTTTTAAGATATTTGTCACCTAAATCTCAATTTGGGTCAGCATCACAGTCCGAAGTTATACAAGAAGGCAGGAAAAACTCCATGTCTAAGGTATGTGGATGCTAAAGATGTTCTTAGTTTGGCAAGTTTACTAATGCTATACATAGATTGTTTATACTTATAGTTTCCTAACTTTTTTTTTAAGTCAATATAGTAAATGGAACACCCTTTCTTAGTCATCTCAGGCTCAACTAGACTAGGAGTCGGCAAACTTTTTCTCTAAAGGGCCAGATAGTAAATATTTTAGGCTTTGCAGGCCATGTGGTCTCAGTTACAGCTATTCAAGTATGCTGCTGTCGTGTGAAAGCTTCCACAGACAGTGTGTAAACAGATGAGCTTGTCCTTTTCCAGTAGAACTACTTACAATAACAAGCTGCAGGCTGAATTTGGTCCATGGGCCATAGTTTGTGGATCCCTGACTTAGATAATCAAACTCACAAAACTAAATAGGCTACCCCTGGTACCAGCTTCACTTCAAAGATTATAGGATGCGGAACAAAGCATACTAGTCGGGCAGCATCAGGCATATCTGCTCAGCAAGCATCCTCACTGCAGAACTCCTAATTGACGGCCTGGAAATGAGACCACGCAGATGAGTGTAGTAACCACCCTGGCTTAGAAGCCTCATGCCCTATAAGAGTCAATTATGCATTGTAACAACTGATGAGTGCAGCTTCCCTGGGGTCCTTGTAAGGAACTCACCTAGTCAAAAGAGTTACAAGTCACAGAATCCCCAAGCTTTGGCTTCCTGCTAAGTGTTTATAGATCACTCAGTTCTCCTGGTACAGATGCAGTTCACCAATAAGGATCATTTTTCCCAGAAGCTGTGTAGCCTAGTAACATAGGCGACATTGCACCTTTATCAGGTTTCCAGGAAAATAGAACTAGGAAAGGTGAGTTGACACCAAGGTGGATTTCCTACATAGAAGTTTTGTTAACGTTGTACTCCTGAGTTCCTAAAATTTTTTCAATTCGGCTAGGTGGTTTTTTAGCACCTGACATTTAATAGACATTTACTAGGTGCCAGATAATGTATGTATTTCCTTTGATCTTGATGACAGTCACCAACTTTATAAGGTAGGTATCCTTCTGGTGCCCATTTTACAGTTGAGAAAACTGAGGCACACAGAGACAAGAGACTTGCCCAAAGTCCCTTTAGAGGTAACAGAGGGAGGAATCAAGTCCAGATGGTCTGGCTCATACTGGAACTGAGAGGATTGATGGAAGAAGCAGTGTAGGGCTGGGATATTTTTCCTACCCTGCTGTTCATATTCACAGCAAAACTAGGTAAGCAACCTAGAATTTGCCCAATCCAAACCATACTGATTCATAAGAAATGCTATCAGGAATGATAAATGCAAAGTAGGTAAAAGAACAGATTTAAGGTCTCCAACAACAAGGAGTAATTTTTGTTCTGAGACAAATTCTCATTGAAGCCTTTCTTCTTCAGGTTTTCCCATGGTCAAAACTAATCCTAGGTCTTGACCTCTAAGTGAGAAGAATTATTATACTGGCTAAAGCAAGGGTTCTTAACCTAAGGTCTATGGTTAGAATCCAGGGAGTATATATGAACTTAGATAGAAGAAAAAATTTATCTTTACTTTCGCCTAACCTCTCACTTTTGTGTTTCCTTTAATTATGAATTAGACAGCAAAGCTACTATGCTTTTAACAGAACCTGTGACTTCGACATCAATAGAAAGCACAGATTTTATCACATTATATTTGTTGCAGATCTCTTGAAATATCATTTATACTCATCCCTCCTTCAATATTATGTTATTATACTTGCCACTAGATCTTATTATTTAATATATTAATAGATACACATTATTACATCATAAATTTTAACATTTTAATAATTGTGCTGCAATATAAATCGTTCACTTTGTAATCCTATGTATATATATTTTTTATTTAAAAATATTATCAGAAGAGGTCTCTGAGCTTCACCAAAGTGCCAAAAGAAGGAGAGTCCATGACACAAAGGGGTTAAAAACCCCTGGGCTGGAGGAAGCTTGTAAGGTGAAAGAGAGGTCAGGTTATGGTGGCAGCTCTTGGCCATATATAGAATCTAGTTTGTGGGGTTTAATCTGTAGGTTCTCATGGGAGTGAAAATGAAGGAATGCCTTAATCTAAATTGGCACTCAGAATAAAAATACTATTAAGATTAATATACCTTATTAGTATTAATAATAACTACTGTATAGTGACAACTCTGCTATAGTATCAGTGTAATTAATTAGACTTATATATTATGACTTGATATTTTCCCCTGCTTGACTCAGTCGTTTTCTGTTTTCTACAGGAAACTGACAGTAGTGATGTAAAGAGCCCTACATGGGAAGACACAGAAATTGATGAAGATATGCCAACACTTTCTCCGCAAATATGTCTTGAAATTCAAGAACAAGGTACAAAGTCTTTCGTAGAGTCACCTATGCCTCAGTTATGTGCTAATGGTATGGAATGGTGTCTTGAAGGAAAAGTCAAAACAAGACCAAGCAATCATGATAAAGAGTTGTGTGTCATAAATCATGAGGGACCTAAAGCCAGAGTTCCCTGCTCTAGAGAAGCTGCAGATAAGCCTTGTGGCAAAACAGAGAGTGGGTGCACTTTATCAGATCAGACACAGATAACTGGAAATAACACAGTTGAGACAGAAAATGAAGAGTCTCACCTGATCAATAAAGGTATTTCCAAAAGAAAAAACCAGGAATCCTCATTTGAATCAGTCAATGATCCATGCTTTTCTGCCAAAAGAAGGAAAATGTTCCCCAAAGGTTGCTTAGATCAAGAGGAAACAGAAACCAACTTTACCCAAAAACTGATAGATTTGGAACATCTACTTTTTGAGAGACATAAACAAGAAGAAGAGGACAGGTTATTTGCGTTACAGCTTCAGAAGGAGGAGGATAAAGAACAGATGAAGCCAAACCGGCAAAAAGGATCCCCAGATGAGTATCAGTTACGTGCTGCGTCCTCACCTCCAGACAAATTGCCAAATGGACAGAGGAAGAATTCCAAAGATGGGAAGTTCAAAAGGCAAACTGATAGAGAGTATTTAAAACCTCGAAGAGGCTCAAAAAATGAAAATTGGCAACCTTCTTTTGAGATCCAGTTGAAACGTTCAGTTAATGTTAATGGAAGAAAGATGCCAAATTCTACTAGAGATAATTGTAATGTATCTAAAACCACTCATTCCTTACAGCCTAGTAAGTCACAGAAAAGTATTTTTCAGATGTTTCAGAGATACACAAAGTAATGCATGAGTAAAGGGAGTGTGTTATAATCTAGTAAACTGGATTGTGAAGCTCTCTCTTCAATCATAGAAACTTTAACATTTTTTCATTAATTATGGTCTGTGGGCACATTCATTGTTCTTAATTAAAGGATTGTGTGATTACAAGGGAGGAATATACAGATGTGTTTCTGCCAAACTCAGTGGTAAGCAAGAGTCCTAGCCTTTTTTTTTTTTAATAACTGTGATATACTAAGTTTGGTAATCCTTATGGATATAAAAATGCCTTTGCCAACCCAAGAAATCTTCAAGTGCCATTCTGAATCTTGCCAAAAAGTGCATGCTTTATGGCCTTTGTTCACCTTTTTGTCCTGACTAGTAATCAAAGCAAGATTATACTATATCAAGTAGTTAAGGAATCTAGGCAGGGTTTAAAATCGAAGTTTTTTTGCTACTTTCCCATATGTTTGCAGAGCACTTGAAATGCATCTTCCATAACATTAAAGTTTCCATCTCCACTTTAATTTAAGCATTATAGCATTTTCTTTGATTTAAAATGGTTAAGATCAATGTGAAATCAGAAATATCAGAGTTTTCTGGAAAATGAGGAATTAGTTGACAGAAGGGAAACTAGACTGTTGATGCAAAAGGAGTTGAGAGTTGGGATGAGGTTGAGTGGGATGAATTGGCAATTTGGAAGCATTGGAACTGAGTGGGTCATCAGAAACTGGGTCCAGAATGGAGTCGCAGCTATAGTTTGGCAGAGCATTCTCCCTCATCCTTTCTTTGCTAATGACACAGAAAGCATTTGGGCTGGACAGCTTTTCACACCTAGTGGGTGGGTGTCAAAATCAAGATTAGTTACTACATTACCTGAAATTTTGGAAATTCACATTTCTATTAATCTCTATTCCAGAAAAAAAATGGGAATTGACTATAGGACAGTGATATCACAGTATCCTATGTTGTGGAACCTGAGACATAACCATGTATTTATTTCCTTTTATTATCGTTTGTATTGATACTGACTTTTATTTGTATTTATGGACAGAAATAGAAAGTATTTTACTTGGGTTTCGCCCTGTCTTACTATTGAAAGTTAAATCAGAAGGCAATGATTTCATTTTGTGAAATTTAACGTAGAGACTATTAATCTTTTGTTTCATTAATATGAACAATTTTGAGCAAATGAACAACAATTTTAATGGCATTTCTGCTGATGTCCAGGTACCTATCCTTTTAAGGTAAAAATATAATAAAATGCCCTAAAGCTAATTCTAGCTTAAATTTGTCAATATTTTTATATATTATTAAGATTTTTTTCCTCCAAATTTTGTAAATGAAATTCTGTTTATCTGTGCATACTTGATGGCATCTACTTCAATATTGATTGGGTAATTATGGGTAGAATTCTGATGCTAATTTAAAAATGTAGTTTTCTCTTTCTCCAAAAAAGTGATGGCCCTCTGAGTAGTGATTGTGCTGAAATGTAGTCAGGAACTAACCAAATTTGTCTAAAATAGACTATAATCTGTCTTCTCATCAAACCAATGTTTTTCTAAGAGCAATTTCACTTTGCATTTTAGGAAAGACATTGTAACTCCTCAAATTAAAAGTTATGTAATTAATTATTAGTCCCAGTAGAGCGAGGGAGCTGAGTGGTTGTGTGGTTGCATGGTTGTTGCGCCTCGGAGAGTGCTTGCAGCATGGCTGATGAACTGACTGAAGAGCAGATTGCAGAATTCAGAGAAGCTTTTTCACTATTTGACAAGGATAGTGATGGAACTATAACAACAAAGAAATTGGGAACTATAATGAGGTCTCTTGGGCAGAATCCCACACAAGCAGAGTTACAGGACATGATGAATGAAGTAGATGCTGATGGTAACAGCACAGTTGACTTCCCTGCATTGCTGACAATGATGGCTAGAAAAATGAAAGACACAGACAGTGAAGAAGAAATGAGAGAAGCATTCCGTGTATTTGATAAGGATGGCAATGGCTGTATTCATGCTGCAGAGCTTCACCATGTGATGACAAACCTTGGAGAGAAGTTAACAGATGAAGAGGTTGATGAAATGATCAGGGAAGCAGATATTGACGGTGATGGTCAAGTAAACAATGAAGAGTTTGTACAAATGATGACAGCAAAGTGAAGACATTGTACAGAATGTGTTAAATTTCTTGTACCAAATTGTTTATTTGCCTTTTCTTTGTAACTTATCTGTAAAAGGTTTCTCCTTACTGTCAAAAAAATATGTATGTATAGTAATTAGGACTTCATTCCTCCATGTTTTCTTTGCTTATCTTACTGTCATTGTCCTGAAACCTTATTTTAGAAAATTGATCAAGTAACATGTTGCATGTGGCTTATTCTGGATATATCTAAGCCCTTCCGCACATCTAAACTTAGATGGAGGTGGTCAAATGAGGGTATACCTGGGTTATGCCTTTTTTTTTTTTGGATGAGGAAGGCTAGCCCTGAGCTAACATCTGCTGCCAATCCTCCTCTTTTTTCTGAGAGGATTGGCCCTGGGCTAACATCCGTGCCCATCTTCCTCTGCTTTATATGGGACGCCACAGCATGGCTTGACAAATGGTGTGTCAGTCCGAGCCTGGGATCCGAACCTGCAAACCCTGGGCTGCTGAAGTGGAGTGCCTGAACTTAACCACTACACCACCGGGCCAGGCCCTTATGCCTTTTTTTTAAAGTAGTTTTATTTAGAAACTGTCAGCATGTTGTTGAAGTGTGGAGTTGTAACTCTGTGTGGACCGTGGACAGTCAACAATATGTATTTAAAAGTTGCAGTATTGCTAAACAGGTGTATTATTAGGTACTCGTACACTACTTTTTTGTACTGGTGGTCCTATACCAGAAACATTTTCTTTTATTGTTACTTGCTTTTTAAACTTTGTTTAGCCACTTAAAGAAAATCTGCTCATGGCACAATTTTCCTCAAATCCATTCCAAGTTGTATATTTGTTTCCCAATTTAAAAAATTACAATTTTACCCCCAAAAATAAAATAAAAGTTATGCAGTTAAATCTTTCTGGAATAGTTCATGACCAAAAAGGGGGTGGGGAGTGTGATGCATTTAGGATTTATATATTTAACCACTTATTTGTCTGTGAAGAAATCTTCCTGACTAAAGTTGGCTTTAAGATAAATTTTAATTTCTCTATTAGTCTGTCTGATAGTCCTACCATGTATCCCTTTTTGTTAGAAACTATTAAATGTTTTATGTCAGTAATTAGAATGTATTGCTACTTTTTCCTTTCATTTTTGTGGAAGGGATATGAGAGTGTTTAATTTCTCAGGGAGTACTAAAACTGCAGAGGTTGAGAATCTGAAAATTAAAATACTCATTAAAAATAAAAATAGACTATTATGTATATTTTACCACAGTTAAAAAATACATAAAAAGTTCTGCATAATAAAAACTACCATAAAGGAAAATTGGGAGACGTGGCAAACTGGGAAAGAAATAGATGCAGTTCATCACAAGGAGCTAATTTCCTTTATATAAAGTATCTGCCAACTAAGAGAAAGACTAACAACCCAAAAGGAAAATTAGAAAAGTGTTCCCAAGAAACATAGTTCCCAGGAAAGGAAATATAAATGGCTCTTAAATATGTGAAAAGATGCATAATCACACTTATACTAGTGCTCAGACATTTTTCCACTTTTCAGATTAGTAAAGACAGGTGATTTTTTTTTTTTATTGATGTTTTAATGTTTTCTAACATTGTGAAATTTTGGGTTGTACATTTTTGTTTGTCCATCACCACATATATGACTCCCTTCAACCCTTGTGCCCACCCCCCACCCCCACTGCCCTGGTAACCACAGTCCAGTTTTCTCTGTCCATGTGTTGGTTTATATTCCACATATGAGTGAGATCATACAATGTTTGTCTTTCTC